AGAAGCAGACTCCCTGCCGAGCAGGGAGCCCAATGCGGGACTCGATCCCGGGACTCCAGGATCATGACCTGAGCCGAAGGCAGTCGCTTAACCGACTGAGCCACCCAGGCGCCCAAACGGATTTATTCTTTGTACAGTGTTAAATGGGTGGTGTTTAGCAAATATAGGAAGGGAAAGATGACAGGCTGGCATGGCATTACTTTAGGTTAATCATGCTGTTTAAAATCCAGGGCTTACAAGTCACGTGCATACGTTTCCAGTAATGACTGATTTGCCCCACTGCTTTCGTTAACATTGCATGCTTTGTTTTCACACTGGAAGTGTGTGTATTGTGAGGTGTGTGACTGGCCATGGTTCTCAGGTCCTGAAGGACTGACCCTCACCAGTGCAGTTTTCGCCGAGAGTTTTGCCTTCGAAAACCTAGAATGTAAACCCTCCCAGCTCAGAATGTCCATGGCGGTGCATCTCAAAGGGATTCTAGTACACCTGTGACATTGCATACCTCTGCTCAGGGCTTTGTTTCCAGTGCTGAGGATTCAGCAAGTTCCTGATGGCACTGGCCTACAGTTGTTTTTGACTGTCTCCCCTGAGGAAACAGAACACTTGAATGACTGTCATTCATTGAGTGCTTACCATGTGCCAGAACTGCACCATCCACTTTGCATACGTTACTTCATGTAATCTCATAATACTATAAAAAATAAGCACTATCTTCTCTTCATTTTATGGAAAACTGAGGCTTTGGTTTTCAACAAGCTGGCAAGTAAAGACAGAACTCCCAGCTCTGAACGAAAAACCAGGACCGTGAACCAATAACCAAATATGGTCCAGCTGATGAACAAGTGTGTCCTTACAGTCTCTGCCGGCTCTGAAGCCCATGATGCTGCCCTCCCATTTTTCTAATCCTTATATGAACAAAATAATTCCATCCTCCCTTGTGTACACCATTTGCACAATATCTTAGAGGGTAGGTCAATCTTGTTAACCCGAGATTTCGAAGGATCCAGTGGTCAGCATCTTGAATTCCTACTTTCAGACACTGTTTCTGAGGTTTAAATCTTCTCTCTAATTTTACCGGCTCCAAAGTTAGAAAAAGATGTGACACTGGTTTATTTTTTGAACACCCCCCCCACCCCGGCTCCATGCCAGTTGATAATGATAGCAGTAAGAGCTGCCATTTATTGAACGCTTACTACTACGCTAAGTGCTTTACAAACAGTGATCCTCTGAAGTAGGTTTTGTTGCTTCCCCATTTTACAGATGGGAGAATGGAGGCTTACCGAGGTTAAATGGCTTACCTGGCTTCACGTACTCATTCAAACATTGATCTAATAAAGGAGTGCTTTGGGGACTTGAACCCACTTTTTCTAGGCTATGGTTTGAATCAAGACTTATCTCTTGGCTAGTGCTGTTACTTGGGGCTAATTATTTACACCTGGGAATCAGTTTCTAGACCTATGAAATGGGGGTAACGCTATTATTTACCTCAGTGCTGGGTTGTATATTGAGTTACTAAACAGAATGTGTTTAGAACAGTGCTTGACATATAGTGAGTGCTTAGTGTTCGGTGCTATAAAAGTAGTAGGAATTACCATTAATATTATTATCATTTACTGGATTTTAATTGTTGAAATAACATATTGAACCATATAAAGGTGTATGAAATAAAAAATGTCTCCCTCTTACCACTTATTTCCTCTCCCCAGTTCACTACAGACGCCAGTTTGGTATTTATCTTCCAGAATATTTCCCATACCATCTGAAACTATTTTTAAATTTTCCTTTCATTAATAAAATACAGGTCAATGTGAAATTTTTTGTTAGTGACCTTGAGAATGGGAGACTGGAGAAGTAGGTAGGAAAGGAGACGAATTCATTTATGCATCCAGTGCTTTCCAATGCTGAGGATTCAGCATGTTGAATTTCTGTTGGGACAGTTTATTGATTTTCTTTTTTGGTTTTATTTAGGATATGATGTTTCAGCTTCTCCGAGGTCTAGACTTCCTTCATTCTCACCGCGTAGTGCATCGTGATCTAAAACCACAGAACATTCTGGTGACCAGCAGTGGACAAATAAAGCTGGCTGACTTCGGCCTTGCCCGCATCTACAGTTTTCAGATGGCTCTTACCTCAGTGGTGAGTGAGAAAGTGCTATTCTTTCATTAAGCTTACGTTTCCTCTTTTAAATGACGAACTGCCCCCATACCATGCCCCTAAGATTATGACTGCCTGTGCTCAGTTGGTGGACAAAATGTCTTTGCACTTTTTAAAAAGCAGGGCTAGAAAGAAAGGATTTTGCTTACAACTACAGACGCATCCAGCCTGGGCTTGTCACAGACAGGACCCATTGCAGAAACTGTCCGTTACATTGTCACCACTAGAAAGGAATCAGTTACCAGTTTCCATATGCTTTTTGCCATAACCACTATTTTGAGAGCTGCATACACAAAATCTGGGGAAACACAGCTCAAGGGTTTAGGGAAGCAGAGTCCCAGGAACGCTGATCTGTCTGTAGCATCCCGGTTTGAGAAGCAGCCAGGTACCTGCACAGGGTGTGAAAGCACTCTTCGGACGCTATGGTGCTGACTATGAAGAAGAAATTGAGTTTACAGGGAACTAGGTTGCCCCATGAATAAGCAGCAGCCTCCCCCCACCCACCACCACCACCACCGCTGCTGGGTGATGCCTTCATCCAAGCCAAAATACAAAGGGTAAACCCAAGGGCCTGTTTTGTCAAAGAATGACAGTTATGGTATCCTAGGGTTTTTTTGTCTCCTTCAGACACAAAACCGTGAAGTAGGCACTAAGAACTTTTATCTTTGAAAGACCTGTTTTACTTGCAGTGAATTCATGCAGAGATACAAAAAGCCACGGAATGTCCCTTTACTGTGCTACTTACTTGGGGTAGGAGGTTGATACCACGAATCCCCTTGGGTCCATGAAGACTGTAAAAATTGTCCTCAAAGCATTAGATGAAGCTTTAAAAAAAAAGACTCTTCTTGGGTCAATATGTCATTTTTCACATCGTCCATCTCTAGCCCTGAAGCGATTCTCCGTCATGGGTGGCACTGCCCTGGGTGGAGGGCGTTGCTGAGAAATGTATGGCAGCATCTTTGGTCATCCTAATGACTTGGGGGATGGCAGTGACGACTAGGAGGCTGATATTCTGCCCACCAAAGAATTGTTTACCCAAATTTGCATAATGCCTCAGCTGAGGAATTAGACAGAAGGGGAGTTGGAAATTCCCTGAGATAACTTGGCTTAGGAAAACATTCAGTTTACAAAAGTGTTCCATTTCCCCACCCCCAAAATATGGTTACTACAACCTGGACACGTAAGACCGCATACTTTCCCAACATTTTGTGCTTTACCTAGGGCGTCAGAATCTTTACAGAGGTTTCCTTGGAGTGTGTCACCATTGTTGAAAGATAAATCGTAGTTTTGACAAGACAAAGCACAAGACGGTATTTCAAGGATATGCCTCAGCTTTGGGCTGGGTCGAGTGAGCCCTTGTATTCTTACATAATTACAGCCGAACTGCTGAGTCTGTGTGTTTCCCCAGTGGGCAGGGTTAGGTAGGCTGTGGGCTTCCCTAGAATATAATTGTGCATGTTGTTTGGCGTCCTGGAGGAAAAGTTTAAATAGGCTTTGTGATTCCCGTGGTCATCGGGGAAGCGGGGAAGCAAATGGAAGGAACTGATCTCCTTGGGTACTTTAATTGAGGGAAGGGTGAGGCATAACTGAGACAGACTCTTTATTTTGATTCCCCCGAAATGGGCACAAAAAAACCATAAATAAAAACAGGAAACCCAGTTGGGTTTTTTTTATTTTTATTTTTTTGCTTATTAAATTTGAGGAATGATAGCCCAGCTTGTGCGTAACATCAATTAACATTCCATTCTTGCTGAAAGTTGATATGTTCAGACAGGAAAATGTAGACAAATTATTTCACAGAGAAAAGGGGAAAGGCAGTCATAAATACCTGATTTTTCAGTGTCTAATTCGTACTGCATACTTTGTATTTCATATGGTGACATAAAGTAAAAAATACTAGCAACTGGGAAAGACACTGGAACAAATTTGACATTATTTGCAAGACTGATAGCTGGAATTTAATGTCAGTAATAAAGGTTATGATTCCTAAAGGGTACTGCATTTAAAATTTTTCCCATTGTTTTGTGTTTTTCTATTTAAGGAAAAGTCCATTTAGTATAGTGATGCATTAGTTATCATATACGTGGTGATATCTAAAGACTTAGAATCAGTTTTTCAGACTGAACTGGTATTTATTTTTAGAATTTCTTGAAGTGAAAAAGACTGAGTTCCACTTCCTGGAAATACACATTTTTTAGTGGGTTATGTCATACAGGACCTGGGAATCAACTTAATCTGTGGAATGTTAAAGGAATTACAAGTTAACTGATTCGAAACTGGCATCGTAGAGCCACGAGAAATGCTAATATATTAGTTGTCTTCCAAAGCCTGACTCAAATGTCCCCCTTCTGGTACTCCCTGCAGAAGTCAGTCCCACCTTCCTCCTTCAGTGGTTCAGAATGACATCTTACTCATGTCTTTCATAACACCGTTTTCTCTCTTGCTTGTAATTATATTTTTAGGGTCTTCTATATCAGGCTGTATGCTCCTGGAAGGAATTGGCCTTTTGGGAAGAAATTTAGGACAGTTTAAGAGTGGACAGTTGTCGTAGCTGTGGGTGGTGCGTAACTTAGGGTGGGTAACAAATACCTATTTATTTAAAGGTGGTAGAATGAAGACGTGAATGGCTATAGCGAATGCCTCAGACTCAGGCAAGAGGGGCCCCTGGCCTGGATCTCATACTTCAGAGGAGCCTGCACTGGCCCTGCACCAGCCGGGCCTCCCTTCGTGGAGCATCGGATCCAGGCTGCCAGGGAGATGCTCCAGCTAGAGTCTGAGACGCCTCCCCTTCCCGCCCCACTCAGGGCATTGCAATTCCCTGATCGGAATGGGTCCTTCCTCCTGACAGCAGATTGTACCACTTGTGTGTCCCACCCAAGTCTGAGGGCAACAGTTTGCAGACAAACGGGCAGAGTGTGCACATTGGGATGGGAATGCATGTCAATATGTGTGTGAGACCTCTTGTGGTGCAGGAAGGAGCTGGGGACTATGGAGAGCGGTGGGACCCCATTACACTTAATACCTGACGTGGGTTATTGTTATCAGAAATTTCTCTGAAGCCATGAAAATCCACTCCTGTGACCAGTATTGAAATACTACTACGTTTTTGGAAAAACAAAGAGAGTAGGTTACAGGGAGGTTCTTTCCATTGCACATAAGTGATGTGTGTAAGGATCATGACTCATGGGGTTATATAATCTTGGTGACAGAAGTGTTTCAATAATGTATGCTTATTCAACAGAATGACTACAAGGCTAGCTAAAATTATATTTAGGGTCATTCTGAAGTCGGCATTTCTAAGTACTTCCCGTGTCAAATGCAGTATATGGTGCAACTCGTTTTTGTCTGTCAGGATAAAAGAGGAAAATAGAGAGCAACCACTCAGCCAGCAGTTTTGGCCACACCTGGTTGTGCACGCAGGTCCGACCCGGAGAGTCTGAGGAGCAGAACCTGGGACATCAACAGCAGTGTGGTGATGACTCTGATCATCATGAAGCGCTATGAACAGCAGCTCAGAGAGGGAGCAGTCTTCACATCTCTTCATATCTCTGTGATGCAAAATCTTTATTAACCGCTTTTCCGAATTGGACCGTATGGCACGCAGGGTGGTACGGTGCTATTGCTGTTAGGTGCAGTGTTTGGAGAACTCCTCGCCGACCACCTTTGCAAGTGGGGAAACTGAGACTCAAGACAAGCAGTTTGTGACCAGGTTAAGTCTGAATTTACCAAGTAGATTATAAATAGCGCAGGAAAATCGAACTACGTCTGTATTCTAGCTCTCACCTACCACCCCCTCTCCCTTCCTCCTCTCCACGCCATAGGCTCCAGTACGTCAGAGGCTATGAGACTATGTTCTGTGGAATTATTGGGTTCTATAAAGGGCATCCAGAGATTCCACAAATGTTCCAACAGTCTGTTTTTTAAAATATATTTTAATTGTTGTTAAAATTGTAATCAAAAAACAACTAGCTCATGCCACATTTTGACACAGTAGAGAATGCTGAGGCATGAACTTGTACCTTCTGGCTAACTTAACCTTTTTTGTTGTTGTTGTTTGAAAGAGAGAGAGAGAGAGCAGGGGGAGGGGCAGAGGGAGAGAGAGAATCCCAAGCAGGCTCAATCTTACGACCCTGAGATCATGACCTGAGCCAAAATCAGGAGTCAGATGCTCAAGGGACGGAGCCACCCAGGCTTCCCCTGGCTAACTTATTTTTTTATGTAGACCTCAGAATAAAACTTCTGCCAAACTTGTGCAGACTTGAACATCTTGTAAATGGATTGTTGCTTAGGAAAAGCCAAACATTCTCTTGATTCACTCCTGTGTGTGTCCACCCCCTTAAAATCACCCGGATGCATGATTGCAACAGTGCACACACCATGCTACACTCACTGTACGTGAGACTTTTTCAAGGGCCGTCCAGAGCAATGCCAGTATTGATGGTTTTACATCCAGATGTATTTGCCAGACCACCCAGAACACTCCCCCAGGACAGTCACCAGGAAGCTGCCCGTGGATAGAGAGAAGTCCACCCCTTAAAATGAGGTCGTTCCTTTTCGTGTCTCTGTAACTTCACGTGCTGAGATAAAGTCCAGGAATGGCCTGCTGCAAACCCATCTCTGCTCTGCAGTGAACAGCCTTACGGTGACTTTTCAGTGTAGTTGGAGGGCCTTCCTACAACCATTAGACAGAAGGTACCATTAGCATTTTTCCTCCAATGCTTGTGTGTAATACACATAGTTTGGAGGAAAATTCTACTTTGTACCATAATGGAAGAGTAAGAAATTTCTCCCGTCTTTTTAGTGACTTAATGAAATTCTCACTAACTGAATTATATTCCCCTTCACCAAGGGTCTTTTTTTTCCCACATCATCTATCCTATTAAGAGACACTTGTTGTGGGGGTGCCTGGGTGGCTCAGCCTGTTAAGCATCCAACTCTTGATTTCATCGTGGATTGTGATCTCAGGGTCATGGGATCCAGCC